CGTGGCGGGCGCGGTGTTTGGCGCTCGGTTGCCAAGGGCTTAGGATGTGGCTCCCGTGAAGACGCGGGCGTACTGTCCGGAGATGCACCCCGTGTAGAAGAGGAAGAGCTTTGCCCGCGGGTGCCCTTGGAACCAGTTAGGCTGGGTGTTTTTCGTGTCTTAGACAAGGGCTCATTGAGCGAAGAAGTTTCTTCAGGACGTAAAGGTGTCTCAGACACGCGATCCTCGTAAGGGGTGATAAGTAAATGTGAATTGAGGTGTTCACAAATTTGATGGGGGGACTTTAACGGGGATACACGTACCCTTTAATGAAAGGGCGGGTCACAAAATATGGTGTGATCGTGATTTACACAAGTTGGTGTAATCAAATAATGGTGTGGCTACACCGTAACAAAAAGCCACTACATGGCAGCGATGCCAGTAGTAATGCATATACACTAGGTTTTGCTATTTAGTAAGGAAAACCTAAGGTTTTAATAAAAATCGGCTCTGCCGCAAATAAAACAATTCAAGATAATTTTAATTTTGAACGGAAGAGCGTCTTTACCATGGTTAAGTTCTTAAGAACTCTGAAGATAGCGGATTACAATTAGCTGCTCTCGTACTGGTTCTTGTATAGAACGTAAGGTCGGTGACCTTAGCTTATCTTTCTCTAAGTAAAGAGCTACGGCAGCCCCGCTGCAGTCAGCCTCAACTTGACCAGGGCGTGCATCATAGCAAGAAGCTCCTTGTCCTGAAAAAAGATGTATTTTCAGCAGATTTCAGCTGCTGAGACTAAAATGCGACCACGCAGTTCTGCTAAGAAATCGTCTGCTTGAAAATATTGCGTCACAAGCACCCTGGTATGGACGATCTGGATTTGGAAGAGCAAGAATCGAGCTACGCATGGGGAGTTTTCTCATAGATTCCTAGGAAGCCTGATATGCTGCATCCCAGTACCATTATACATCTGTTTTATTGAGATTGGTGAGGGGTCGTGCTAATGTCGACATAATTTGCGCCAAGCTACTTTCGAAAATCCGTTTGGAAAGAAAGACTGGCTTTTTCTCAACGATCTTCGTATTTCCGTGATCCGCACGTAAGGATTGCAAACCGATGAAAAATACCAGTCAAAAATTTTCGTCCGTGCCACAGAACCATTTACATCTGTTATTTGAGCGCAAGCACAAATGCACTATTCGCGACTGTATACTGTCTTGGATGTCGAATTATACGCACGCTGCAAAGCTTTAGACTAATATAGTCAAGATATGATTTGGGTTGCCGCGATGGGGCCTTGACAGCTAAAATTTCAACCATCAAATGTCGCTGGTGCCGTGAATAATCTCTGTGGCATAATCAGCCACTCCTTGAGTATTCCGCTAGAAGTACTCGCCGCAGTGAGAAAGTCTTGCTCACTTCAGCAGAAGCTGAGATTAACATCATATCTTGAACAACGAGCAGCCAACCATGCTATTCTGCAGCGCATCCTTACTGAGAATCGAAATTATTGCCGGAGTCAAGGCTGTGTCTCGCCCACTACAAGCCTTTCTAATTCGCCAACCATTGTTATAAATAAGAGCAAACGTGACGTAAAGTGGGGGGAATTAGTTTTCTTACCAGACATAATTCGTGCTTTGCACAGCAGCAACGTCAATGATGTCTTATCGATCCATTGATTGCAAACATCGCCGTGAAATACAATATTTGATCTCTCGAACCATTTCGACTTCGTGATGCACATCTTATCCCGTGGTGCCATCCCTTTTGGATCATTCGTAACAACGTCGTGATGTGTCTCCGATAAAGGAGAGGAAGGATTCTTGAGGATAGCTGTCACACTCGTAATTCCCAGCACTGTGCCAATTGCCTCAATATCAGATTCGTTAATAACAGATGACGAGTATAGCACAGCTTTGTACGGACCCATCGTGACAAAGTTGAGGGTGGGTCATCCTTCATTGGCTCTGGCAGTTGATATTGCAACTCCACACCGGCCTTGGAAGAAAAAACAGAAGCTCATAGATGTCGTTTTCCGCCCCGCAAGAGATGCACTCTGGTGGCAACGATATACATTCGTCATTTCCATTTTAATCAAAAATACACTCCGGAGGCCTCGATACAATCGCCATTTCATGTCACGTTCTAAGACCGCGGCTATCCGCCGCTTCTGCCTTCTGTGCTATGCTCGAGACACCTACCAATGCATTTGCTATTAAATGTGGACTTGCACAGAAGCTATCGCATCGTGCCCGCAACGATAGCGTTTCTCTTTCCTGGTATTAGAAATTTATGACTCGTTCGTGCTATATCAGGAGGTAGTGTGTTGCATGCAATATTCTGACTACCAGTATACCTGGCGCTCGTGGTGTTTCAGTCACGTCATTCCTAGGTGGAGAATTTTAAACAAAGGACAGAAATCATTCCACAGTGTTAGTGTCCTTGAAATATATTCGAACTCCTTCGATAAACTTTCCGATTTTGCCGAAGCTAAACACATGATAATTGAGTCCATATTCGTCGTGTTTAATAACTCCTCGCACTGACTCCTGTTCCGGCAAGCTCGGATATACGTAGTCTACGACGCCTCTGATTCCATCATGAGTCTTCCACGGCTTCACAAATCCCGTTGAATTTAAGAATCAGCAATCCTGGGGTATGAGCTTCACTCCTCTTTAAATGAAAATCGTTTAAGGTCTAAGTCCCATTCTCTTATATCGTTTTGAGGTGCAAAAAAATCCACATCCATTCCAGCATAACATTCAGAAATTTTTCCCGCGAGAAATCTTTATCGGCACTTTTTTTTTATTTCGTCCTTCAGTTAAGAACGAAGGTGGCGCTCAACGCACAGATGTATTGCATTTTCACAGGTAAACAACTCGGCGTACCGCGGAGCCGCTCAACGATAAAATAATGCTCACTCTAGTAAGGCGGTGTCCTATACCTCTGGCGCCATTCATCTGCCTCTCGTGGAACAAAAGCTGTACACCTTTATCAAAATTCAGACCCATACGGTACTTTCTTTAGAACTTAGTCGGTGAATTGACCTTAGGTGCTACCAGGTACAATAAGTTTGCCGTGGTACCCTGCGCTAAGAAGCTTTCGGCTCGTAAAGGTCGCGTTGACGAACGCACGGAAGATGTGTCTAAGTTCATCACTAGAACCCGCTTAAAGTGATACTTAACATATATGTTGACAGAATAATAAAAACACCTGAATGAACGCATCGCGTGAGGTTAGCAGCTACAGCCTCTTCTTTGGGAATACCATATGATGGTACGTTACCACCGTACTTCCAAAGTATGCTGTAGGCGTTAAGAGCATTAGGATACGGAGTTACATATCCCATAAGAGCATTGTTGAGCTCTGTTACTCTAGCTAGACATCTGATGCCTTGGCAATGACATTCTTCACAGGTCAGACACGAGAAGTTGATAATTTCAATCGAGAAAATATTAAGGTCTCTTCTGCATCTCTGCCCATGGATGCACGACATTTGTACTGGCCCGCTTGCTATAAGAATTCTTTTTTTTAAATTCAGTTTTGTGTATTACAAGTTTACTCGTAATCAGCCCACTAATTCTGTGAGCAGTCTGTGACTTCAAAACTTTCCGCACGATGACCGGAGAAACTCAGGAATTCCTTCCTACACTTGACCGTTCCGCTTATGTAAATGATCTGAATACAAACGGTAGGACTGATTGGCTGAAGACGCCCCGCGCAGCTCAAATTAAGCCGCTACTCTGGCGCAAAATGTAGAGTTACGAAGACCCTTGTGACGCTCGTTCGTCTTCTACAGAGCGCTTCACGTTTGGGTGGTTCGTGAAAGTGGTATTGAGAAACGGTTTTAGTAAGCCTACGCAAAACACATGTGTCCGCATCTCTGACTGACATTGAGAGTACAACTCAGTATCCTTCTGATTGCGACCGTAAAAGTGCAATATAACAAGTGGTTCGTTTGTGCTCAATTTCAGGCTTATGGTCTACCCGTCTATAAATGGTAGGGTTGTGTACAGTGGCTGCTTTCCTTCCACCTCCGAGAAGCGAGGGTCACTACCTAAGACAATGCCTCGTGGCGTGACTGTCGACCTCTAAGGCTGCATTGAAGAGATGAAAGGTTTTTGTCATGGGACCACTCTAGCAGCCTAGCTTCAATGTTTCTATTAAATGTCGACCTGGCCATAAGGCATATATGCACGCCCTTGATACTCTATGTCGTAAAGGAGCCTTGAGCGTGTTGCTTATATTTAAAAGTTACATTTTGATGTCTACAGAAATGAAAAGAAATGGCTGTAAGGTCCTCATTGTTTGTTTCGGTCAATTCGATCACATTCCTGCTTTGTTTGCATCTGACTGGAATGGCTCGGCTGGTTACGCATACGAAGTGACAGCTGATTCCATAAGTCAACTGTTTCGCAACGCAGAATTGGCGGAAAACTCTCCGACTTTCAGTAGAAGGTAGCGTCAGTGCTTTCTATTAATACGGATGACAATCTAGTGCTTGTTGGTGTATACATAGTGCAGAGTGGCTTGAACAATACTATCGATTGATACTTACAACTGTCTGTTTGGATACGATCTGAAGTTGCCACTGACAGCCCAACCCCAACAATATCTTGGTAGCAAAATCAGAAGGAGCGCACTACCCCTTCGAGTACCATATTTGATAGAAAGTGACCAAAGACGCTGTTGGGCAATATGTACAAACACTAAGTCTTACAAGGTCTTTGGCGATGGCTTTGCACTGTATAACATGTGCATTGTTTCACGGATGATATTATAGAGGCCATTTATGGCTAGGTTTTGTTTGCCAAGGAAGTCAAATGGCTAGTTGTTTCGTGGTTAGTGTTGTAAGACCACTGAAATTTTATGGTGACGCACACAATACTGTGACACACATTTGTTGAATTTGACTAATTGTTGGACGTAAAAAGCTAAAGAATTTATACTGCTGGCCACTCGGTCATCGAAATATCAACAGCATTTTCTCGCTACTTCTGCGCTTTTCCGTTCTGAGCCATGTGCGGGATCATCGCGTTGATGTTGGCCAACAAGTATGAGCACTGTAATCAGGGACTTTACGATGGCCTGACTGTACTGCAGCACCGCGGACAAGATGCCGCCGGCATCATGACGTGTGAGAAGAAGCGGCTGTTTCTACGCAAGGACAACGGCCTTGTGCGCGACGTGTTCAAACAAAACCATATGCTTAATCTACGCGGCAACATGGGCATCGGTCATTGTCGGTATCCGACTGCCGGCTCCAGCGCGAGCTCTGAAGCACAGCCATTTTACACAAACTCACCTTACGGTGTAGCGCTTGCGCACAATGGAAACCTTACGAACTCGCACGAGCTTGTGGATCAGCTGGCAAATACGAACTTCCGACACGTAAATACGGACTCAGACTCGGAGCTTTTGCTTAACATTTTGGCTTCGGAGCTGCTTAAACGTGTTGACCAGCCACTGGACACAACAATGGTACTAGATGCTGTCACGGGCGTTTTTCAGCGTTGCCGCGGTGGCTTCGCAGCCGTTGTGCTCATAAACGGCTTTGGAATCGTTGCCTTCCGAGATCCTCATGGGATTCGTCCTCTAGTGTTTGGTACTCGTCGATCGCAACATGGAAACGATTACGTTGTGGCCTCCGAAAGTGTTGCCATTGCTACGCTTGAGTTCAAGCTAGAGCGTGACTTTGCCCCTGGTGAAGCGATGGTCATCAAACAGAGTGGTGAAATGACCACTCGCAGATGCGTAGCTGACGCGAGCCTATCATCGTGTATTTTTGAGCATGTCTATTTTGCTCGCCCTGACTCGTTTATAGACGGTGTTTCAGTGTACCAGGCACGCCGGAATATGGGGGCTAAGCTCGCACAGAAGATATTGCGTGAGCGTCCTAATCACGGTATTGATGTTATTATTCCGATTCCAGACACAAGTCGTACGTCAGCACTTGAAGCGTCTCAAAGTCTCAACATTCCATACCGGGAAGGCTTCGTTAAAAATCGGTACATTGCGCGAACGTTTATCATGCCTGGTCAAGTCGCACGGAAAAAGACTGTTCGAATGAAACTAAATGCGATCCGCTCGGAATTTGAAGGCAAAGTGGTACTTCTTGTAGACGATTCGATCGTTCGAGGCACCACCTCCCGTCAGATTGTTCAAATTGCGCGCGAGAATGGCGCCAAAGCTGTGTACTTTGCTTCCGCGGCACCGGCTATTCGTTATCCAAACGTTTACGGAATTGATATGCCCACAACAGAAGAGTTAATTGCTTTTAACAGGACGGAAGCTCAGGTAGCAAAGGAGATTGGCTGCGAATGGATGATTTTTCAGGATTTGAAGGACCTGGAAGACTCTGTACGTCAGGAAAATACGTCGCTTATAAGCTTTGACTCGTCGTGCTTTGATGGCAAGTACGTCACGGGTGATGTGGACCAAGCATACTTCGAACGACTGCATGCTGAGCGCTGCGATGCGCGCATGGAGGCTAAGAATATGGGCTTCACTCCATTTAATCGCACGATCTCCATGCCGCAATCTGATGAAAGCATCGACATGTACAACGCTCCGCAATAGATTAGCTATTCTTGTGGCTGCTAGTTAATTACTTACGATTCTTAGACCGTAGGAGCTGAGATATGCTTTATTTGCATAGCTTTTGTCTCTTTGAAGCATTTTATCTGTAGATTTCCATAGAAAATGAAATGAACATCATTTTATCCTAAACGCTTTTTTACGCAAATATGAAAATTATAGCAATGATGGTGAGAGCAAGGGTGTGCAAAATCTCGATCTCGCCCAACACATGTGAGGTTTACATCAAAGACTTTTTCATGCGCATAAATTGTCGATCCATATCTATTGGAATGGCACGTTGTTTTGAGCAAAGTACGACTGCAAAGACGTCAATGTTGCAGGCGTCGGCAGTTTGGTCTGCGCGTATGCCAGATGCTAATTTCAGCAAACAAACATGCACAAAGAATCAGATACTCTCATATGCTCTTAGAAATATAAAAAATCGTACCACGCCGGGTCTTGCGGCTGACAACTTGGAGATCGACTCAGCAAGATAACGAGCCGGCACGGGAAACTCTTGCAAGTAGTCAAGCGAAACCACCGACGCGAAAAACAGTTTGGCGTAACCAGCTTCGTACCCCGTCTGTTCAAGCTCCAGCAAGGATTCATCCTCATCCTTGGTAGATGGACCATTTTCGCCACCTTCCTCGAGTACTGCTACCGCTGCTACCAGCATTTCTGTCCACAAATCCAAATCGGCAATGCACAGATTTGTTTCACACATCAGTCGCGTCAAGCCAATAAGGCACGCCTTTCGCTCTGCAAGCCCACGAGCACGCGCATTGCATGTCAGCCATACAGACCTGATGAACATGATAGACATGCCTTTTTGCAGCGATTCCAAAGAAGTGAGCAAAGCATCCGGACCAAGTATCCCAATCAGCACTGATACGGTGTAAATTAGCTCTTTTACATAACCCAAAGAATTGCGTCCCGCCATCCGGGTTTGCAATCGAATCATGAGAATTTTGACAATCTCGTTTAGATAGCTTGCATATGCCTCCTTGGGCATATAAGCAAAAAGCCCTCGCAGAAGTGAAAAAGCATTTGCTTCAGTAGTTCTGGACGAAATAAGCTTTTGAAAAACGCCAAGGATTCCTTGCACCGACTGAGCAACATCAGTTGGCACTTTGCGCATGTATGCCTCAATAAGCTTAACAATCGCCGGCACGTTGCTAACCCGTTCCCACAATGCAGGATTCAGCAAGACAGGAAACATACTCTTATACGCGTCAGAAACACCGCTTGGTCGAAGCTCTAGCATTTGAGCAAGCACTTGATACACATAGGGCGACAGCGCCTCGACATCGTTCGAAAGCACTTTTTGAAATGGTGGAAACAATAGCTCTTCAAACCGCTCCGTCGCAGCAGGGTTCGTCTTGCATACATTAAGAATTAATACCGACAGCGACTCGAACAGGTAGTGGCTGAACGATGGATTGCTTGGGTTGGCGCAAATACGAGTAAGAATTCTAGTAAGCTTGCTTACAGCCATGTCTGTAAGAGGCAAGATGTCTTCCTTGGCTACATTTAGCACTCGCATAATCACCTTCATCAAGTAGTCATTTTCTGGATAGTTTGGTTGCTCAAGGATACTGAATACATGCTCCAAAAGCTTGCCAAGATATGGTGCAAGTCGTACCTTACCAAAGCGAAGCGAGCCTGATGAGTCTTTGACAGTCAAAAGACGTTCCAAACATGCTGCAGCATACGTATGGACCACGAATTGCAATGGATCCATGCAGGTCATCAAAAGAGAAAATAGCTGATCGATGACTTCAACTGGCAGTTGACTACGAAATGTCGAAACAAATTTGATCGCGTCGGCCTTCAAAATAAGTGAAGCTTGGTTAGGAGTTGAGAGCTCGGGCAACACTTCGGCCATGAAAAACTCCAGCAAAGGGACACGCGCATTCACTTCTGACACTCCACGTAGACGTGACTGCTTAATAGCAGATATAGCAATGACAAGATTAATCGATACATCTTTCATCGCCCAATTACGTGCTGGATCGACCTTGAATTGCTGCAACTGCGTCTGAATAGTGCTCATACAAATCTGCGTCACCGCCTCGTCAAAGTTGCTAAGAAGTCCGCGCACCAAGTCTCGCGCGGCACTCCGACGACTGTCTCCATCCGAACCTTCAATGTCACGGCGAATGTAATCCATTGGATTGTCTTCAAACAATTCTTCGTCAGACGACCGCAATTGTAGATTTGTCACGACAATTCCACACAATTCAGTCAAGACCTGAGGAGCCTCGAAAAGTGCGCGATGAAATGATCGAGAGGCTACTGATGTAAGGAACTTCATGCACTTAGCTGCCAATTCGTCGTGTTTAGGGAAAAGCGTCATCCGATTGGCCAGAAGATTCCAAATCACTTCGGTAAATTTTTGTAAAAAGGGTTTAAACTCTTCGTCGTACTTTTCAGCGTAAAGATTGATATTCTCTACTATTGCCACGAGCACTCGATCAATCGGACCAGGTTCATCTTCATTGTCTGCATCTACCAGCGCCGGGTTGTCGTAGTTAAAGTAACTTAGAAACTCTCCCATCCATTCAGAGATGTGGTCCTCAAAGAATTCAGGTAAATCTTGCCAGTTTAGCGAGTAGAATATTCGACTCATGTACCGCAACGCCGTCATCATCTGCGTCTGCTGTGCAACTGTAGCCCCGGATGAACGCAACGCCACACCTGTTTCCTTAAAAAATACGAGAAGAGGTTCCTGAAAAAATTCAAGACAGTGCTGAAGTTCCCGAAAAAGATCGTCGGACTTGAAAACGTTGCGAAAGCGCTTGAAGATAGTGTTTGCCGTCATAAGGACACCATTACGTACTTGCCAATCCTTTTCATTCTGTAGCCTCTGTACCAACTGAGCCAGCAAGCCCATCCATTGAGCGGGGAAATCGTACTCTCCAATGGTTGTAAGCGCTTCAATTAGTTGCTTTTGCAAAGTCTCGGGCATGCGGCACATGAGCTCTACCAGATGTTGTTTGACCAAGTTCTTCTCACTGAGAGGAACGCAACCTTGTTTTTCAGGATCCCAATTGTGCTTGACAAAATTCTTAAACAACAGCGCGGCGGCCAGACGCACCTCTTGCTTCTCACCCGCACTCTCAAGTAGTTGCAGAAGCAATAGTACGTAATTTGGCTGTGACGAAAGCGTACTCAGATACGTCTCGGCATTCTTACGTGTCTCAGCAAAAGGAGAGAGCGTTTGCTCAAGAGATTGACGAAGCATCGGCATGTTGGGCTCCGCCATTTCTACCTATATCTTCACTTTGTTGTCGGGTGGCTGGTGTGTTGGAAATCTCCTTGCGTTGAAATGACATTACCGGCACTGATTGGCCAATATGCTAATTTCAACTCAAAAAACTCTAAAGGCTATTCTAATTCACAGTTGATCAAAGACAAATAAATTGAATTTTAGCAATATTTACTTTTGAACATGCTGCCCACAGCAGTTGCAAATAATTTGAAGGTTAGCTAGCCACTTTACAATGACTTTTGTATACATTGGAATGAAATGTGTTTTGCTGACAGCTGTCAGCAGAAAAAGAAACTCGTCTTTAACAACGAGATTTATAGCTTTTTAGCACGGATTTCCTTCTCGCAAGACAGGCATAATGGCGGCCCTTTCTGTAAAGTGACAGTACTAAGCAGAACATTTACCGTACCCTGTAGATTGAGTAACATTGGTACCGTCTCGATGGTCGACCAGCCTTCCCCGTGCTTCTTGGTCCTTCAAAAGCTCGCGAATCCTTAGCAGCCTCGGAGCCGGCTGCGCGTTCGACAGCTCGTCCGCCATCACTTTCAGTGCCACGTTCACCGGGCGCATTGCATTCTAGTTCCTCATGAGGAGACGTACGTCGACATGCTTCTGGCGGGCCTCACTTTCAACTCATTTATTTGCTGATTGGTTAACCAAGTACAGCATCATCGGTGAGCTCCGATCTCCTCACCAGCTTTTTCACGCGTGGAAGCTCCCTTCGTGGCAATCTGGGTAGCTCTAAATGGGCCTTTGCAATTGATACAGCAGAATTATACAGCACAACGCGCTTGTTAGAGCCCGGCCTTGTTCCAGTTTCGTAAGTATGGGCTCGTTTATGCATGGTCGCTTTCAGCATGAACAAGAAGCAAAGGTTACCTTCCGTTTTGACGTTGACGTCGGCGTCGCGCTTTAAACTACAGGATAAAGTGACCTGCCAATAGGTTTGACGTCTGCGTTACTGCGTATTTATAGACTTTATTGAATACCGCTGTGACTTATGAGCCTGTCATCAAGCAGTTACATATCTTTAGACTCGCTCGTAACGGAACTAACATCATCAAGATACTCGAAGCAGAGCATCTTGCCGCTTCCCGTTAACGATGTGCATGACTCACGTAAGGGTAGACGATGCAGACGTTCAAGCATCATAGAAGCCTTGATAGAATAAGAGTGCAAAGCCTTGTAGCTTAAAGAAAAGCGCAGGTAGTGTAGTAATCCGTTCGAGCTGTTCTAATCAGTTATAAGGCCTTAAATAATGGGCTACACTTAGCCATTTAAAACCATGGTGTCTCCTGTCTTTTGAAGTGGGTGGCGTAAGCCAATCACTTCTACTGGATACTTTCGACAGAAATTGAAATACAATCTCCGCATGCAGCGGGGCTGCCGTAGATTAGCGCTTGAGAAAGCGTATTTTAAGGTCACCGATCCTTCGTTCTTTACAAGAACCAAGTATGAGTTAGCGGATCGCAATTCGCTTACTCCGAGAGTAATTATTGCCTTCCAAGGCTAATTGACTCTTCGGTTTAAAAATTCAAAACTGATTTTTATTTATTTATTTATCCTAATTATAGAAGTTTAGATTTTACTAAATATGCTATACATATAGTAAAATCTAAATACATGCATAGCTACTGGCTACCTAGCCCGGTACCGTATTCTTGTTTGGGTTTGGTCACACCATGCACATCTCGTGTGACACACACCTCTGTTACCAGGGTACGTGTAACCCCGTTACACCGTACATCCAAGATCTTGTATTAGTTCAAGCTGATGTTTAACCTCAAAACACCCTAGATGTATGAGTCAGGCTCATAGAAACCCAACGTTTGATTAGTGAAACCTATAGGAGCCCTTGGGGTGTTTTGCATGTAGCTCTAGGAACCATTAACTCATTTCGATTCGCGTGCAAATTGCCTTCAAGTCCTCAAGCCGTTCTTCTTCTTTCCACGTCGAGACTGTCCCCTCATTTCATATTAAGAATCGCTTCCTCGTCGCACAAGCGTGTGTGTTGTGCTTGAGGGACTGTTGCGAACAGCGCCCTGTGACACCTTGTAGCACTTCGAGCGCTCTAAGCGACGGCTTACGATTCTGGTTTGGTGGTGCGGCAAATAAGGACGCTGCGCATTCCTTTCCAAGTTATACTCTTGACCTTGTCTCAACGACATAGGATGGTTGAAGTACCACTCGGCCCATCGGGACCGCAAACTGATTTACTGACGAATGACATGTTTCCTCGTTTGCCTTCAAATGAGTGGATGGGTATCGGTTGGATGTGAGTAATCGCTGATGCTGTTGCAGTCAGCATACTGAGTCGTAACAGAAGAACGCGGCCACCATTTTCATGCATTATGAAAATACTCGCCAGTAGGTTGCAACTCCTGTATTTACTTACAGAACGATACCTCCGAAGCTGAAACTTTGTTTGCACTGTAGTGAAGAGAACGACCCTTTCCCACGAAGTTTGGCCGAGTCGGATGGATCGATCATTGTAAGACCAATGATCATTTTCATTTCGCATTGGGCAAGTTAGCACCATGCACAGTCATAACTTTGGCTCGAACAACGCACCAGAGTCACTCAAGGTTCGTAGTGGATTTCAAAATCATCTAAAAAGACGACGTCTTGGACAGTCAAAGTCGCACTTTGCCTGACACTAATACCAATATTAGTGGATAATGCATGTGCAATATGCACCTTGGGACGATAGTTCTGTGTATCCACAGCATCCACAGTACTCTCTCGAGACCAGCAGGTAGCACCGATTACTGGTCGCTCCATTTTTTACCTTTTGGGTGTTCAAATCGACGACCATTAAAGTATCCGCGATTATTCAAACTAGCACCCTGTGTCCGTTGCGACTTGGCAAAGACACTTTGCATTTCCAATAATTATGAACCGGCGTGATATAAACGAAAACACTTTCCATTGTTGCGAGAACGCTCAATTCCAGGCATGGAAATGTACGAGATGTCCTTTGGCTCTAGACCATCACTTATACTAGATGACCGGAGCGCTTGTCATGGTACGAAGCCATTGAACTCGGCTCGCTCGATGCTTAAGTTTTCTTACATCGCACAGTTAATAGCTTCGTCCAGCGTCTTGGTGTACCCGCAGAGCAGTTAATATCGGACCGACCCGTCATTTAGACACCACGAGCTTTACTACTTGCGCTGCAACGTCAATTGGCTTGTCAAAAATACTCGGTTCCAAGTAACGAGCATGCTGTGCGTACGAGTGTAGATTGTAGCGAGTTTGACAAAGCTTCACGAACTCAACACGGGTACTGAACTCACTATGTGGTAGTTCAAACGTTTATTTTTATTCGATCGCGAAGCGTTCGTAGCTAAGAGATCAATTTAGAGCGGCTGAAGATGCCAAAGCAAATCATTTGCTTAGTAACGAAGGTTGGGGTTCTGATGTGAAGATGAGGTATGTCATGATTGAAGCGTATTAAGCCTAACACTGACTGAATGAATTTAAAGATCGTCGTTAGCAATTCGTGCAGCGCTGGTTTAAGCTTCGAGACGATGAGCGAAATGTTATGGGCAAATACTTCTAATGAAGAAGTCACAGATGGTCCAAGTGATATTGTGGTGTGCGATTCCCACCATGCTCACAGGACAATCTCAAAAGTTTATCGAAACAAACATACTGTAGGTGGAGCAGTCAGGCGCCAAAAAAATGTCTCTTTTGCCGTCAACATGGATTTGTGTGTGCAATTGTATTATAAACAATAGTGGGGCTAGAGGCAAAAAACATCCAAGAGAAAGTAACAATGCCGCCAAGAAGTGTTTTTCGTCAAGTAATGTGTGTGCTCCTGATCGAGGTACACGCTGTAATAATGAAGGGAGCGTCCAAGAACGAGGCACTTCGATCGATCTAGTAAATGTTGTGGTCAATAGCGAAGAAAGTGTAGTCGATGTTATCTGTCACGCAAAGATTTAAGATCCTCCATGTTCAGTCAAGGAAGCAGTTTCCTCGCCGTTAATAAGCAAGAAGACGCCGAAGCGTAGCCTGGCGAAAGGTGGATTTTTGCAAATATGTGCAATCGGCGAAGAAGCTATCCACGATGCCACTAATCCTGCAGAAGTATAGATGAGCAGACACGTAGCAAAGGTTTATTGAGCAGTCGTGGGACACTCTAAGAACAAACCCAGGGAAGAAACTTTCAAGGAATATGCTGATAATATTCCCGGACAAGATGCCAGACGAATTGCAATCTGACCGAGGCATTCGTCATTAGATTGACATACTCCTTGGTACAAAATACTGTATTACACGGCAGCAGCCGTTGCCGAGATAACAAGTCATTGCAGTCGACGAATTCTTCGCGCAGCGATAGAAAACTGGTCATGTGCATAAAGCCAAGTCACGCACTGTAGTCCAACCTTCTCTGCGAAAAAAGTCAAAGTAGTTGGTTGCACTGTTCACGCTTTCAACAAATTGAACGATCTGCGCAGACTCCGGACCACGCAAGGATATGATCCCTGATGGAACTGTTGGAAACATTGTTATCAGCGCGATCGATCTGCGCGATAGTTGCTACCAGAAACGAATTCACGATAAGGATACACCACCCATACCCCCAGTAAAATGCTGCGAGAATGGGTAGTGATACAACAAGGTTTGAAGATCTCACTCGCGACGTTCAACAGAGCGTTCACAAATCTTCTTCGGTTGGGAGATTTTGCACCGAGTTTGCTAATAGAAAGATAATGGGTAAGAATTCTGATGTCGATGTTCATTTTGGTCATTTCTGTCAACTCTTGCGTTTTAAGCGAGCGATTAAACTCTTCGCCAACCTGAGATCCCCGTTCTCGGCTACCTTGTGGGCAAGAGATCCGGATAAGGTCAAAGTTATCAATGTTTGATCTGTGCTAGACAATGTGAAACAGCTGAGACAATGGCTGGGCTCTACCAACTATTTGCACACATGCACGCGCAATTATGCAGCGTTGGTGCAATCCCTAACTACTTTATTAAGTCGAAAGAAGGTAACCAACCGGTTAATGTCGAAGTGAGAAAGAGCTTGAGAGAAGCTCCTGTTCTGCGATTGCAAACCACGATTAGCCATTTTATGTGGTCTGCGGAACAAATGATGGTTTGTTGTGCATTGGTTGCGACACGGAATTCTGAGTCGTGAGCGAGTTGTTTCGTATAAATCTCGACAAATTTTGAGTTCTGCTCTACAAAATTGTTCAAAAGGCTCTCGCAGCAATTTTCAAGCGTCGAACAACGCTGCTGCAATACTTCATTCGTTCACAACGAGCGCTCTTCCTATTCAATCTTTTTCACGTTCAGCCCACCTTTGCTATCAGTCTTTCGTGAAGAGAGTCGTCGCTATATTGTTGTGACGATTGTTGATTGCGAAGATTGATCGGCCCTTCATCGTGGAGAAAAGCAGTTGAACAATCAACGCTTGTTTGGTGGCGCGGCAACCAATCAACTCAGACACGTGAGAACCTCGTCAGGCCCTAGCATCTGATGTACCTTACGTGTCCCACATCTACGAGAATCGCTAGTAGTCTTACTCGAAGCAATACCACGACGACCAGAGCTGGGGTCGTGATTAGAGGTTATGCCAGCGCCGACTCGGCGAGCCTGACGCCCCATCTCATGCTCATTATCAAGGCGAACAAATGTTTACCAAGCGTCTAGCATATCTGCGATGGGCTGGGTCTGAACATCACGATCGTTGATCCGACGCCAACGAAAGAAATTCTCTTTGAGAAATTCCGATCTTCGTCTCGGTTAAGAATGGGGGAGACTTTAAGAAAATGAAACTGCTCTTTCGTACTCAGGCGAAACAAGCTCTTCCCACTTGGCTTGTTCACTTGATCGCTTCATTGCTCGTGTTGAAGTAAGCTGTTTCAAAAGGGCTACACAAGTATCAAAGTGCTTCTGACCAAAAGCAGAAATGATGTGAGAGCTACAAGGGCTACACTAAGCCATTACCTGAAGGTACATCTAGTACCTTTCGCGTACATTGCAGGTATCACTGAAGAGATCATAGTATGATACCCACATATGACGAATTCTATTAAGCCACAAACATTTGTATGATACAGAATGGTCGTTCCTATTCGGGCTTATACTGGTGACGAGACCAGCGCATTAACTTCTAGTTAAAACTTTTCACAAAAGGTCAGGCTCATTACACCCAAGATTTTAATAGAATTCAGTTGTAAAATTGCAGTCAAGCCCTCAAGTCGTTGTTCTTGTTTCAATGACGAGGATTTTATTTTCTTTCGTGTGTGTTGTGTTTGAGAGACTGTTGCGAAAAGCGCCATTTTACACTTTATGACGTCAGCTACAGTTGCCGTAAACATCTTGTCGGCTTATCAAGCCATATGCTTGGGTAAGCAGTTAAGAATAAGAGTTTGTGGCGTGATTTGTGTTTGTAGTGCTCATGCAAACGTGCATTTGAAGTGATCAACTAAGCAATAACGTTGTGCGACCAAGATATTCGCAAGATACTTTCAGAATGGGTACTTAAACGAGGTTACGTGGGGTTGGTATGACCTGCAACTAGCATGACTTGCGAATAAATGTCATATGGTTCAAGCGGCATTAAGGATTTGGTGAGGGAGTGAGACTGCCGAGGACTTTGCACAGAGGAAGCTTTGACCCTCGTAGTCCGCGTTACAAACGCATATAGTTTGCCTTCAATCAGGGGCAGAGCCGAGAGTATTGTATTCTTAGGCAAATTCAATTCAGACTAATACTTGTTATATGTGTCTTACTATCTCTCACAATAAAATTGTATTTTCTAACGTGTCCTCGCCTCCTCCTTTTCAGGCTTCATTTATCCCGATATTCCGGTACAAATAATTACACCAAGTGCAATGTGATATTGTGCGATTGTACCAAATGTGTATGGGTTAAGCACATAAAAATTGCAGTGATTACCCGGTTAGAGAGAGAGTTATCTGATATGCCATTTCCCGATTACCCTTTGGCCTCAGAGCATAACTGCCAGGTCCCGTAATGAAGTATTATTATGAAGGACCCCAACTTGTATTAGGAACTTTTTATACCTCAAAAGGTGAGTCCGTGGCTGCTAACCTTACGCAATGCGTTAATCAAGGTTATTGTCAACAGCGACTCGGATATGTTAGGTATCACTATTATCCAGCTCTAGATTGCAGATATTACACTCTTAATTTGAGCAAGTGTAAAGTACATGTAGATGAGAAAATCTGGAAATAGCTGTCCATCGTAAGAAAAAAAAAACTTCGGCGCATCCTCTCCGCGTAAATAACCGCGGACTCTACGGGTTAAACTTTCCTATGTGCAAGATCTCGTAGTGATGATATAATTATGAAGTATGAGGTTTGGCTAATTCCAATCTGAAACTTAAGCCGCGTTAAATTCATGGTGAGATTACAGCGTCCTATGGACGGCCTTTAAGCTCATTTTCTGCCAGGTTGTTATCGCGGTCTCGACGATTCATAATTTATTTTGTGCAACGTGCGCCGTCTCATCTTTTACTAAGAGCCGATGTGACTGCCTCTCTGATCAAAGAGCGGAGTATAGTGGGACAGAAGTGAATGAAGTTTTCTCGAACCTGCATTCTTAACTAGCGCAGATAAATCCTTGACGCTTAGATCCCGAGGTATCCCAGAATGAAAAACCAGTAAAAGAGCCCCTAGACGTTTCCGGATATTACAGAACTTCAACATGAAACGATTTGACAAAAAAATTGTCTGCTTTTGTACTTATTGCTGCAATCCTAAATAAAATCTACACTATTCACTATTTATTATCAATGTAAGTACTGTCAACAGTTGGGTCCGTTTACGCCATTTTCCAATATCTCTCAGAGACTCGTTTACTGTTGCTCATATTCAGTACTGCCACTGCAATGCCGCGATGAATATCAACGTCCATCAAAAAGCCAGGTCGAAATTGCACCCAAATGAGACTGGTTGTAGAGTCTAGTTCTATGTCTCAGCGGTCTCAAAAGAAAATTGTCGGATCTATGATCACGCTTTCAATATCCACGAGAGATGATAATTGCGAAATCAAGACCTTGTTTGGAGTAATTGACTTTGAAGCCTTTGTTATTGAGCATGTGGATTTGCAACGGAAGAGTGTAATCCCATCACATAGTCCTCAGCTTTTAATTTTCTAAATGCCAACGTCAGATATGTATCAGAATGGGGGCTGAATATACGCATCCACCCTGTGAACATCTCTACTTCTTTTTGCAATGGTTCGGCAGGGTATCTATGAGACATCGGTTCTTGGCTCGCAAGGAATCAGTTGCACAAACAGGACCAACGAGTTGGGCCAAATCTATGTCCACGCTGCAGCGATTACCCAACAATATAGGTCATCAGCCAGAGTCAGAAGCTGGTGAACACCCGTGAGATGATTATAAAGTCTATTCTATATGCTCACATTTAAATTTCCCCGACTGATGTTCATCGCGCCGAGGCAGAAAAGGCCGTATGTAAATATTGGCTTGTGATGTGATCATATCAAGCATGTTCTTGACACAGCAAGTAGCTGAAACAGAACGTAACTGACTTTTTGAATAAATACCTCTGTATTGGACACCATCTTTTTGGTTGACGTTGTGGTTTTCTTCCAAATCTGAGCCAGATCGGTTTTGCTTTCTGAACGTTTGTTTGGTAGGATTTCGTTGCGACCAAACTATACGTTAGTTAAGGGGTATTCAGTACTCTTGGAAGCAGCAGATTGCGATCCGCTGCACTTGTACTGGTTATTGGAAAGAACGTAACGTTGGTGACCATAGGTCAACTTCCTCAGAGCAAAAAGCTACGGCAGCCCCGCTGCACTTGGTAGCACTCTTAGTCAATCAACGCCTGAGTCGTTACGTCTGATCCTCGGTGAGGATAAATGACTACTCCTTTTTCGCCCCAGGGCATGCAGGACGAGCTTACTAAGCTGATGACTCTGCTTGGCCCTGAGTGCGTGGAGCGCCTTGTTGCGCAAGGACCCGAGGCCATAAGCGCACGCCTAGAGAAATATTCAAATTATGAAAATGCTTTGTTAGAGCATTTACTGCTAGCGCTGTCAGCGTCGAGTGCGTCTATGACGCCATGGTCGACGACGGATGATTTCTTCCGGCCCAGGCCGCTCATGGTGAGCATTGCTATATTCGAGGGTAAGGATGGAAGTTAGTCCCCAAAATAAGCAACAGCTCGAGGCGCTAGCTATCTCCAAGCTCGTGGGTCGAGCGCGAGAATGGGCATGAACGTGCAGTGCTTCGGTTGAAGCTGCGTTCCCCTCTTGGAAGGAGCTAAAGCGTCAGCTTTTGCGAGTGTTCTCGCCGCCTAACCAGGCATATCGCGTGCGATTGCGCTTCCTTGCTGCCCAAGAGGGCATGAAGGAGCTGGTGAACTTTGTCTGGGATGGTTTCAGATCCTCCTCCTGAGGCGGTCGCAATGACCGTCTTTATGGAGGACCTCTGTACTGGCGTGGCCGGAATAGAAGTCTTCCGTGTGCATCTGTCTTTTTTTAAGATGCGGTGAATGTGGCATTGAATGTCGAATCCAGCTTCAAGTCGGCACGACTTGGTTGGATTGCACACCCTCAGAGCTCGTCGAGAGGGCCTGAGCCAATGGATCGCAGCTATGCCGAGAAGGAGGAGGGGGGGCTTCGAGCTACTGAGCAGCGTGTAAACACCCGCCAGTGCTTTGTCTGTGCAGACACCCGTCACCTTCGGACTAATTGTCCCCTGAGCAAGGTACGTAAAGATTTGTCGAACCGACGTCCCACTTCTAATCAGTCTGGTTTGTCGCGAGAAAACACCAGTAGGCGCGGGTCGCCTTACTGGGAAAGAACTGAGTTCTGTTGAGCCTCAAAGCGGTAGAAGAATGCAGGGCCCAGCTTGAAGAGATGTGTGCTTTGAACACGGAACCTGTGCGCAAGCCGGGCTTGCTGGTCGTAAAAGCGTTTGTGAAGAGATCTGAGGAGATCCTTCTGGATTCCGGACGTCGGACAACTATGCGCGAGGCTCAACGAAAGAAGGAGATTAGCTATATGCTGAGGCGCTGAAAGCTCGGCTGAGTGACACCATTACGTTCGCTTAGCGACGGGGATATGTGTCACATTGCCTAGGGTCCCTGCGGACCTCGGTGTCACGTTTCTTGACTTTCATAGCGTGAAACGCTGCTTAGTCTTAAACTTGGATTCAAGGTATGACCGAAACCTTGGAATGTCACGGTTGGAACACCATGATCCATGGATTGATTGGAGGTCGAATACCTTGGGCGCTACGCGCACGTCTCCTGGTGAAGCTTTTGTGAGTCGTCACCTCACCTCTGCTAGGAAGCAGAAGTGCTATTGGAGTGGGCACTGGAGTGGGCGCTGAACCGAGACGGTCAATGTGCTGGTAAATCGGAGTATAGGAGTTGTCGAACACCAAAGGTGTTTTGGACAAGCGTCTCGAGCGTGGCTCGCGGGCTGGACGTGGAGTGGTGCGTAACCCACTGAGCGCTGCTCAATTTTCGGAGCAGTCGCTGCATGCCTTAAGTGGTATGGTTGGCCAAGGGCCGAGGCATCGAAGGTATCAAAGGCGAGGCCTCAGTGATGCGCGTAGAGTGGCACGTTATTCACTAAGCACTGCTCACGTTTTGGAGCGGTTGCTGCATGCCAAGAGTGGCATGGTCGGGTGAGGTGTGAGGAATTCTGGGCAAGGTCCTTCGGGTGCACGTGGAGATGCACGTGGAGATGCACGTTATCCATTGATCGAATACTTTAGAAATAGCAGTTTTTCGTCGGATGCTGTTAAAAACATCTTGGCTTCCATGAGGCAGGGAGGGAACACTGGACGACGCCGAGTGCGTGTTCCCACTGAGACGTAAACCATCTATAGAGAGGAGACGGCGGAGCCGTATGATATCTGCAAGACGGAGGGTGTCGACCCGGACTTAGAGTGTGTCTACCGTAGACGATAGTGCACAACTAGTACATAGTTGTACCCTTGTCAACAGTATCACGGGAGAGAAAGATGGCGACGTCATCTTTGAGACTATTTCCGCGGTAGAAGCTCTTCTTGATCTGGACGAAATTTCGTTCAAAGAGGTTGGTGGTGCCTTGAAGGCAGGCAAATTAGCCTAGGTGGTTATTAAAAGACCGAACGAGAAGATCAACTCGTCGTTGAAGCTGTCCTGGAGGACACCAAGAGCGTGCTGAACGCACGAAGTGGATCGTCAATCCTCAAGGATCCCTCGGATCCGTACTTTTTCTTTTGGTAACAAAATTCCAAGACGTCGTCTTCAGGGTTTAGTTTAACCTCCGGCTCGAGGTATGCGTCATGATGTTGACCTGGTTAAGCAAATACTGCGTAACACGCCAATGGGCCCTGCCCAAGGAGCAGTGTTACGTCATTGACGCGTTTTTTTCGTGCGAAGCATGAGGCAGTAATGGTGCGTGAGAGTAAGTCTCCCTATTTGACCCCATGTTTTGTGTCCGGAAGCCGAACCGCGAGTGATGTATCGTCCACGCTAACAATAAGCTAAACGCTGCCACCATTTCAGCACAGACGCCGATTTCTAGAAAAGATGTTTTACAGAACAACATGGCTGGCTGTACAAAGTACAGCGCACTCGACTTGGCCGATGGGTATTACCAATTGCTCATGAGAGCGAGCGATATTCCGCTGACAGTGGTGAGTGCTCCAAGCAGGACGCTCTGGAAGTGGCTGGTGATGCCCAAAGGGCTGTCAAATGCACCAGCAACTTTTAATCGTCTTGTGACACAATTTTTCAGGCCCCACCGGGCGTATGCACAGACATACTTCGAGTACATTTTCGTCCGCAGTCGCGCGGAAAACGGGGGACAGATGTGGAGAACTACATCGTCAATTTTAGAGCAGTGCTCGAGTGCATGCGCACGAATAAGCTGGATGCTAATGCCGATAAGTGCAACTTTGGCGCGGACAAAAATCATTTTTAGGGTGCTTAGTTGGGAAGCGAGGCCTGCGAGCGGATCCCGCTGAGGTCAAGGCCATTGTAAAGTGACTGGTATCAACGAACCAAAAGGACGTGCGCAAGTGGGATGTTCTCGCCAGTTACTTGTACAAGTATAGTGCAACTTATGCGGAAATTGCATGGCCTTTGTCGAATCTCCTTAAGAAAGATATGGTTAGGTGTTGGGACACCGAGCATC